CGGGAGGTAGAGCGTTAGAAGTGCTAATTGCAAGCCGCTTGCGTGTGAGCCTAGGATTCGCGGCTGCGCTTGCATCAAATAAAAGCAGAGAATTTCGAAGGCATTCACAAACGCTCGCCTGTTTGTCGATTTGCACCAGTACTTTTTCTCCGCATCATCGCAGTACTATTAACCGCCCAGGCTGTGTATGGTTGGTTTAATGTTAGGTCTACGCAACTTTGCCAGTCGATCTTACAGTCAAATGTACTTTTTTACAGTTGTGTAGTAGGAGTGCGAACAGTTGAATGAACAGAGGGAGGGGGCGTTGTAATTATAAATACGAGGCAAGTGAGTATGTGTAGCCTGAATACCAGAATATTGCTTGTTAGCTCACGCCGGGGTCACCAATTTGTGCCGCCTAGGTAGATGTTGTACTCGGTGCAATAAAATCATCAGGAAGAATCCCATAGTGTTGCTCAAAGGCAGAATTTCTTTCCTTTTTCTCCAGTAAGGCGATTAAAGAAAAGCGAGTTCAGGATGGTTGTGGATTTGGCGTTGGCTTGTAGAGACGGAGAAGGATAGAAACCTTGGAAGTCTTGTGATTTAACTTTGACTGCGCATCCGGAACAACGTGGTTTCCCTGTCCACAACGTAGTCCAACTTTTGTGCAAAATGTTCCCTTAGATCCATCAAACTATTTTTTTGAATTCAGGCTAACAAAAGTCTGCATTTATGTCGATCAGCCTGTGTTTAGCCCAGTAGATGCTCATCGCTGCTGCTCATCCATGCTGACCAACGGACTGGTGGACTTGCGCTAACTTTAAGGGATGTTTGTGCAAGCATTACGTTTAAGGGGTTAAGGTTAAAGTGGGATTGGGTTAGGAGTTAAGGCTAAAGTTTGGATTAAAATTAGATGAAGAAGAAGGTGCGATCGCTGGAACAAGGAGTTTGTTGATCTGAAGTTTCGGATTCTCATTCGAGTCCCCCCCAACCAGAGACAGTCGCAGGCAGGGGCGCTGCATGTACAAGGATGCAGCTGGAATGCAACCAATCCCGCTCGGGTTAGGATTAGGTCTATGGCGGGGATTTCTGCTAGAGGTGTAATCTTAGGGTTAGTGTTAAGAGCGAGAGTTTCTATGTCTATGACTTGCTCGCAGAGTTTGATTTGTCACCGGTCGTGACTAAATGAAAAACACGTTAACGTTAACGCGAATTATCATTGGAAAATGTGATTTCTTTTAAACTCCACCTACATTTATCTCTCTCCCTCCCTGCGCTCCACAAACGGGAAGCTGTCTGTGATTTTACCCGTATAGCAATCCTAATCTCATGCACCACCCACTGCCAGCTACCTTATAACGTCTCTTCTGCCTCCCTCCCCTCTCCTCCCTTAGGAATGCCGTTCGCGCCAGGGTCACCGAGGCAACAGCAGACGCGAGAGGCAGAAAGCCACTTTAGCCCGTCTTGCCAGTTCTATGACCCCAGTGACGAAGAGGAGTGATCTAGGCGGACGGCTGTACAGGCAGAACAGGATGGCACGCAGTCTGGACGCTGGCGGTGGGTTCGCCGGTCGTTTTGCACTCGATAGTGATGATGATGACGGTGATGCCGACCCCAGGACCCGTAAACGTATTGAGAGGGCCACCAATCGAGTCGAGAGAAAACTTTTCGAAAAAGCCCTTAAACGGACTCTGGGACAGAAGAGCAAAGCAAAGAAAAAAGGTAGACACATCTCTTCTTCTCCTCCTCCTCCTCCTACTCATTCACTTGATGGTCGTCTTTAGAGCTTAGCCTTCAAACATTCTCGGCCTTCGAGATAATGTTGAACGCGTGGGACGTCCGGATAAGTTATGTACAAGTCACCAGTACCATAGATGGTTATACCCGTTTCAGAATCTTACATTTACCCTTTTATTTACAACCCGAATCGTAACACATTGTAGCAATATATTATCTTTGAGCTAGTAGTCGCAAGGCTTACTTGTGTTATGACCCGCGCCTGGTACTGCTACCTAAGTCGAACGCCGAACCAAGGAACCCGTAAGAGTGAGACAGAGGGAAGACCGGTTGGCCAGAGAGAGAGGGGGAGTTTACTGCGACAAGCACGTTACAGAAAGTCAACGCAAGTCCAGCCAGACAAAGGGTGCCTGTAGGCGAGAGACATCGTGCGACAATGGGCCAATCAGGAGCGGAGGAAAACCGATAGTCACGTCGCGCTCTCATGACAGCTGCGTAAGATGAGCTCGCGGGCCTTTCTGTGAGATGAAGAATCATGGGAATGGGCGCGCCGATTGTGCAGGCTATCTATCTGTTAGGCGTATGCTAACAGAGTAATCGTGGGAA